TTGCACTCCGACAACTTTGGGCTGCCCGGGTGATTATCTAGGCACTTAAGGAATGCACTGTTTTACCCCACTCCCTTTTCCTGGCAGCTGAAAAGACCAAGAGGAGAATCTTTTTCGTTGACAGACTACCTGTAATTAAATCATCTCCTGGGTTGGCTTGTTCTCCTCCAGAGAGCTGGACGAGGGAGTTACACTGCAGTGGGCAGCAAGCTCTGGCTCATGAACTCCGCGCCAAGTTTGGCAAAATTGCTTTGCTCCCCCCAAAAAATTATCCTTGAAGAGGGGGGATGCTCCCGTCCGATGCTCGATTTACCGCCGAGCCTCCCCGTTCCGATGCAGGAAATAAATAAATAAACATTTGTGCCTTGCGAGGCTCTTCAGTCTTGGCCTAGCCATTTAGAATCCGCCCTCTTGCCCGCTGTAAATGAGAGTCATGGTTTGCCACGTGCCGGTAACACCGAGATCCACCGGCTTCTCCATGCTCTGTTCATCGTTTTGCTTGCGGCTTTCCCCTCCCATCGGTTCCTTCCGCTGCATCCTGACAACATGAGCCCTGGAGGGTGATTGCCCTGCTTCACGTTCAAGAAAGGGGGCTTGTGGGAAATCAGAGCTTGCCCCCCCCCCCCCCCGCCCCTTCTTCTCCGGATCCATCGCAAACGGCCGTCAGTTGGGGAAAAAACAGCAACCCTGAATTTTATTTTTGAATTAATTGCTTATGGTTACAGAGACCTTCAACCTCTGGCTGCTTGAAGGACGTGTGGACATGTCTTCAAGGGGTCAAAGTTGACAAAGGCATGATTTTTTCTTTCTTAAAGAGCGGATCTAAAGGGGTTTGATATTATCTTATACCCCCTTTTCCCCCCACTGCAATTTCTCAGTGAAATCTACAAATTGGGGGATTAGCTCATTTATTTGGGAACTACATATGGAGCCAATTTTGCGATCGTTAGTTTTCCCACCAGGCTAAATTATCTGGTCAGCACAAGCCGTATAATTCAGAGGTGAAACTCACGGCGTGCATCGACCAGGACATTAAATCCCAAACATGTTAACCCGGTTGGGTTAAAGCCCATTTAAGCCACCCCAAAATACAGTATCATCAAAAGAAACCAAGGTTAAGGTGTGGAAAACCAGAATCTGGTTAAATCCCAGATGCCACTGAGTCTCAATACGGTGCTCAGGTTTGCTCGTAACCGAAGAATTAAGGCAGCATATAGCTAATAAGGGCTGAAACGAGTTTCATTTCATTTATTTATTTATTTTGCAGGGCTATGAAAAACCCAGGAAGTTAAAAGAATTCCCCTAAAAAAGAACCACTATCCAATCCCTGGAACAAAAATTTCAAAAAAAAAAATTTACATTAATCAAACCAGTTCATTTTTAATATAATTTGCATTCAAATTCTCATAATGTAAATAAAGCACAAATGAAATGAAAGATAATGGGGAAAAGAGGGAAGGGAAAAAGGGAGAAAGAGAAGTGTGGGAAAAGAAAGGAAGTGACACTGGAGGTTTTAAAGAAGAGATTGGACAACCATTTGTCTGAAAAGGTGTAGGGTTTCCTGCCTGAGGAGAAGGTTGGACTAGAAGTCCTCTGGGGTCCCTTCCAACTCTGTTATTCTGTTATGAAAAAAGATTAACTTCCAACTTCTTTTCAGCGCCATAAAATAAAAATAATAAGACGCAGCCTCAACATTTCAGTTTTGCATGCTTAATACACATGAGCCATTGCTGTAACAGCAAACTGTTTCATTTTTTTATAATTTATATATATATATTACCTTCAGCCACATTAGAATCTGGAGGTCCACTTTCTTTATTCATCACCCCTGGTGCAAAGTTTTAAGAAAGTTTTTCAGAACCTTTTGGCAGTCATGTTGACAGTTTAAAAGACTCCACCGTAGATGCAAAATAAAAATAATAATGCCAAAAATCGGGAGGGAGGGAGGGAAATCTTGCAAAACAATACCTTTTGTTTTCCCCCCTTTCCCCTCTGTCTCTCTCTCTCCCCCTCGCCCCCGCCTCATTTTGTAAGCTGTAGATATGCTGTATATATGTGTGGTCTGGCCCGTAGCATCTATGGCGTGACCGTTAAAACAGTGGTCTTGTTGGATGGCAAATCCGTAGCTTGGGCGTTGTATTTTTTTGTCCCCTCCCTGTCTAGAGAGTAACCAGCTTTGACGCATAGCGCATGCTTCTCGGAGGGATGTGGTTTTACCTCTGGCAAACCATCCCTCGTAGTTTTTAATAGCCTGCATGTAGCCATTGGAGATGTGTAGTAGCCTTGTGTCTTTGTAGACGTTCACAGCCATGAGGGGGGAAAGGATAGCGGTGTTGGGGGAGGCGGTGGGACAGCAAAGGAGATCCCCGGATTTTGCAGGCCGGGGTTGAGTGAGAAGGACCGAGAGGTTCGCCCTTCGATCTTCTGCAAGACGTTGATTGCATTTATTCCGTTGTTTTTTTTAATGCAAAATGCTGCAGCGTTTTGCAGAGGGGTTCAACCATCTGGGGGTGGGTTTCAGGTAAGTGCGAGGGGAAAAAAGATCATAAGCCTACATTGCAGCTTGCCACTTGGGGTTGGAAACACTAGGGGAATAGATCCACGCCTGAGGTGGTTTAATTTATTATTTATGTCCCAACTTTATTATTATTTTATCAACAACTCAAGATAGCAAACATATCTAAGCCTCCTCCTTCCTCCTCTTTCTTCCACAACGACGACCCTGTGAGATAGGCTGGGCTGAGAGAGAGAGGAACTGGACCAAAGCCACTCAGTCGGCTTTCATGCCTAAGGCAGGATTCGAATTCACCGTCTCCTGGTGATTGGGCCAAAGTCACCCAGTTGGCTTTCATGACTAATCTGGATCTAGAACTTATCACCTCCTGGTGATTGGCCCAAAGTCATCCAGCCGGCTTCCGTGCCTAAGACAGGACTAGAACTCATGGTCCTATGTGGCTGACTTGTGTTATTTAAATTTACGTGGCCCCTTAAATTGGCACAATTCAATCCAGCAAACATAACGCACCCTCCTGTTTTGCTCTCACACCCCTAGGAGGTAGATCTTCCTCCAGATCTTAAGAGGAGACTACAATTCCCAGTTCCTAGTCCAGCACTTCACCCTTAACGAAACCAGTTCTCAACGCTTTTTATCTTCTTGACCAATTCACGGGGAAGTAAAATTGGAGGAGAAGCTGCGTATAAAATTGGAATTCTGGTGGAGTGTAGAAAGATAGAGAAATTATCCGGGTGGAAATATGTAAGAATTGTTCCCTAAGGAAAAGGGGGTTAAAGCTGTTTTTAAGTCCAGAACAACAAGAGAACATTCAGAAGAGACTCAGGTAGATGTATAGGTTTCCAGCTTGGTCTGTTGTTTTTAATTATTATTATTATTATTTATTTACCATTCTGATAAACTTGGATAAATTAAAATAGGCTGATGTGCTAGCTCATTATATGCAGAGAAAAGGTTTGTTTATTTTTAGAGTTTGGTTTACTCCCAGCATTTATTTTTAGACATTTCAGCAGGATATTATTTGACCTGTTTTAAAATCCAAGACAGGAAGCCATATTTCTGAGTCTGTTAAAAGGTTTTTACTGGCAGATTAAAAACCCTAAAATTGCACTGTTTTGAACAGTGGCTGTTAAAGCAAAGTCTTTAGTAACACATCATCAAGGTGGAGTTTTAATTGTTTTATGTAGTAACAAGCCATTTATTTTTGTTTCATCTAAGACTAAACTTTTAGTTTATATCTGTACATTCTATTGAGGTATTTTGGCTCTGAATTAATACAAATTCTTATTTACGTCCTTGTTTACAATTTGGGAGAATAGGTTTTTTGTTTATTTGTTTGTTTAAAGGACAGCTTTGTTGTAGTTTGAGGTGGGTTAGAATTCTTTTCAGGTCTCTCCCTCAAATTTTCTTTTCTTTTCTTTTTTCCCATTGTGCACCAAACTCCAGTTTTGAACGCCCCAATGCTCAAACTGGAAATGTGCAGAATAGCATTGTAAAGGAAATTGGATGGAATAAGAAATACTGAGAAGTTTAATTTCCTTCCTTCCTGCCTAGAAGCTAAATACTTCTTTTTCAAGCTTCTGGACAGAAAGAAAGGGAATTAAACAGTTCTCACTGCCACTTTCATCCCATATATTTTTCTTTCTTTCTTTCTTTCTTTCTTTCTTTCTTTCTTTCTTTCTTTCTTTCTTTCTTTCTTTCTTTCTTTCTTTCTTTCTATGTATCTTTTTTTCCCTTTCCCTTCTTGCCCTCCCTCCTTCTCTCATTCCTTTTTTCCTCTCCCTCCCTCCGTCCTTTCCCTTTCCCCTTCCTTCCCTTCCTCCTTTCCCTTTGTCTCCTTCCTTTCTTCCTCTCTCCCTCCCTTCTTCTTTCCCTCCCTCCCTCTTTCTCCATTCCTTCCTTCCTTCCTTCCCTCCCTCTTCTTTCTTATTTTATTTATTCAATTTCTATAGCTGCCCATCTCAATCCAGATCACTCTGGCCAGCAAACCAGACCCCAATAATTAAAGCCATAAAAACATCAAAATGGTTACAAATCATACTTGGAAGCAACCAACACAATCCTAACGATTACATTTAAAAAGTTGGCAAACTTTTTAAAAAGTAAAGAGGTCTAAAAAGGAATTGACTTTGCATTATTCATCAGTTCTTAAGTCACCTTTTATTTTTTTGCAGAAGAAGTCGGTTAGCATGGAAGAGGCAGGATTGAAAAAAAACAAAAAACACCCTGAATTTGTATCTTCGGGCAATGGGGAGATCAAAGCAGTATTTTTTTTTTTGCCCCTTTACGATCTTGTGAACCTTTGCAAAGTTGTGTGGAAAGCAGTGTCCATTTGCACAAGCTGAGCAGACTTTGTGTGTGTGTCCGGTTCATTCGCATCATTTTATTAGACGCCATTTCAAGCTTAGTCTTCTTTTTCTGATACGTTCTTTTCTTTCTCTCTCTCTTTTTTTCCCCTTTCTCCGTCCTTCTCCGTTTTAATGCGAAGCTTTCCCTGAAGCTGGTAAGCACCATCCCAGCATGTATTTCTATACATATATTTTAAAAACCACAATTTTATATGTGTGTGACTTGTGTAGCTTATCCAAACAGCCATGTTGAAAAATGACTATTTTTTTTCCTGTTGTCTGTGTGTTTTCGCGTGTGTTTGTGAGTGTTTATTTATTTTTTCTTTTCTTTTGGCCTTTATCAGATAACTTTGAATATGCAGGTCTGGAATTTAATGGAGGTGATCCCATTTTGATGCTGCTAATGAACTACTAAGAATTAACTTGTAGTGTTTCAGTTTAATTAGATGGCTTTCGGAAAGCCACGCGATGCAGGCTGTAAAAACGTAAATAATAGGCTTGTCATTCTGAACTGACAGATGGCCTTGAAACAGATTTAAAATAATTTAATTTGGGTTAAAAATACCCTTTCCTCCATCTACAGCTGCAGAGAATGAAGAAAACAAAGTGTTGAACTCAATAAACAACAGAGAAATGTCTGGCCAATTTTTTTTACCAATGCTCCCAAATTAAAGGAGAGTTAGGATAGCAAGTTTTTGAAGTTACACAGGGTTCTTTGCAAATTCCAAGAATATTGTATTAGTTAAAGGTTTGCTATCCTAATTACAAATTACAAAGGAATCAGTCATTATCCTAAATTGGCAAAGTACTGAAAACATCCATCTGCTAATTTTTTCCCCCCAAAATAAAATATGTGGTATCACTTTCACTGCTAAAAGGTTTTCCTCCTAGCTGAAGCGGCCAGCTGTCCAGAAAAAAACGCAATATTTGATACCCGTGTAATGGAATATCAGGCTGTTGGGGCTGGCCAGCAAGGCAGCGCAAAACTTCTGCATTGTCCATGGCTGGTAAAGATAGTCCTCGACTTACAACTAGAACTTCCGTTGCTAAGCAAGGTGGTCATTAAGTGAATCATTCTGAATTTTACAACCTTCCTATTTTAATTCCTCACAAGCACGTTCATCGCACAGTTTTGTAGAAATCTTTAAGCCGCCTATATCTAGAAGTCTTCAGCAAGTTAAATGAGCAGATAAAATATGACCTTTTTTAAAAACATCACACTTTTTTTTCCCTTCAAATTTGTAAATTGCCTTTAAGTAGAATTCTCAGGGTGAGACTTTCATAGTATCATATCACTGTCACTCAAATGACCTGGACTCTGCAACTATCATAAATACATACCTGTTGCCCAAGAGCCCAAATTTTGTTCCCATGGCTTCAGGGGTTCTGTGTACCTGTCATAAGTGTGAGGATTGGTTATATTTTCAGTACCATTGTAACTAAGTTGAGCATTATACAGTGTATATGCAGTGGGACATGATAGCAGCCTTGGAGAGGTTGGAGAGGTTCTTCACTGCAGGATGGAAAGTCTGGGTTAAGAGAATTTTCTTAATATATATATATACATTGATCATCCTTGATATAAATCTTTGCATAGCCTTCTCTGTCCTTCACTGAGTTCAACATTAATCACAATAACTGGGACCAGCAGATGCGGTCCCCATCTTGGGTATCCACTTGTCGTGGCTTGCTAGCCAACTACGTTTTTCAGCCTTTCGCGCAAAAGTTGCTCAAACTAACGCTTTTTAATCCCTTCCCAGCAAATTTCAACCAAACCATTTTAAAAGAATAACTCCCATTTCCTTCCAAAAACCGGGGCTGGCAACAAAGGGATTGTTCACTGGAGGCTCACCTTGTACGTTCCAGCTCAAAAGAGAAGGGCTAACTCCAATAGCTTCACGGTGAACACGTTGGTGGGTTAGGTTTGGTCCTCAATTTACAATCACAATGGAGCCCCAATGTTTCCGTTGCTAAGCGAGACAGTTGCTGAGGGAGTTTTGCCCCATCTTATGACCTTCCTTGCCACCCTTGTTAAGTGGGTCGCTGCGGCTGTTAAGTTAGTGACACCGTTGTTTAATCAGGGGGTCCCCAAACATGGCTGCTTTAAGACTTGTGGACTTCAGTTCTGGGAGTGGAAATCCACAAGTCTTAAAGTGGCCAAGTTTGGGGACCCCCTGCGTTAAATGAAACTGGCTTCCCCATTGACTCTGCTCATCAGAAGCAGTTGCAAAAAGGGATTGCGTGACCTCCCAAAGGCACCGCAACCCGTTGTTAAGGGTGAGTCAAGCACCTCAATTTTGATCACAGGCAGGTGAGGAGCCTGCAAAGATCCTAAGTGTAAAACTGTAATGGTTGCCGAAGGACTAACTGTAATTTACCAGCTAGGTATTTCAATAGGGTATTTAATGCCCTGCAAATTTTGGTCAGGGTTGGAGGTGGTTGGATTGAGAAATCCACGTGGAGTATTTGGAGGCAGTTGAGGAGGTTGGTAGATCCATCGAGTCAAACTCAAGACAGTTGATTCCACTGGCTTATCAATGGATAAGCATCTGCAGATAAGTTGGAGCCAAACCACTTCAGCCCTTCAAATTATGCTTCCCTTGCATTTTGTGAGCTGGGTTTAACAACCACAACAATCCTCCAGAGACCCTGCATAAAGCCTTCCTAGCCAGAAGGGCTTCAATTCCGCACGAGAAAATTCAAAGCAAATACGGCAGAAGGGGGGAAACATTCTTCCTTTCATCGGAGGGATGATTAAAAAAAAAAAAAGAAATATTAAATGAACAGGCTGGTTTTCTTTTCCGGGTGGAATGAAACATGCAGGAAAAGTAGGTGAAAAGTAAAAGAAAGCAGATCTTCTACCCGGAAATCCAAAACCACCTTCCACTGAGGTTTACAAAACTCCCATCTTATCCCCAGCCCGTGTTTTAATCCACCTCCTGACGAACTCTTTCCCTTCCAGAAAATAGCTCATTTCCTGCTTAATCTGACCCTGATGGTTGTGTAAATTAGTGGTTCCGCTTCTACCTCTTTTCAACCACGCCTTCGCCTACTGTGGAGGTAGTCCTCTGAATTACGACCCATTTAGTGACTGTTTGAAGCGGCCATTCATAGATTTTTTTCCCCCAAGCGAAGTGCCCTAAGCGTTAGTTCAAGTTAGGGAAAAAAATAAAAATAAAAATGGGAAGTTTGGTAGCACTTTTTTTCCAACAACTTATGAAGTTGGTTGCGTAAATCAAATTCAATGAAGCTTCTGTCAGAGGCAGCTCCCTTCGTCGATTACAAACCAATTTTCCTTTCCCGTTTCTCACCCAACCTCCACCTAATTTAAACCTTGGATTAACCTAGTCATTCTGTGCATCCGAGGAAGGGAGCTGTGGTTTACAAAAGCCTTTAAGCCTTTTAAGTAAAATTAGCTATTCAATGAAAGATGCTTCCAGGTTCCCCCCCGGCCCTTATTTATTAATTTTTTTAGAGAGATGTTTGTATCTTACAAGAGGGCCTTTAAGTTAGCCAAGATAGCATCTTTTGATAGCTAATTGGGTCAGAATATTGCCGTACAGGCAAATAAAATTCTCGCGTCTAATGGGAATTCATCACGATCGAGAGTTTTCACTTTTCCTCTTTTCCTCCTCCTTTTTTTTCCTCCATCTTCCTGCAACCCTCAGGGTGGAGGACCAGAAGATTATAGCAATCTTCCCCCGGAGCAACGAAGAAAGAAACTGCAGCAGAAAGTGGATGAAATCAACAAGGATATTCAGAAAGAGCTGGATCAGAGGTAGATCAAACGATAGCAAAAAAAAAAAAAAAGATGTTGAGGTTATAGAAAGAGGGCAGAAAAGAGCCACAGAGAGGATTAGGGGACTGGAGGCTTAAAACATACGAAGACCGGTTGCAGGAATTGGGTAGGTCTGGTCTAGTGAAAAGAAAGACGTGATAGCATCTTCCAATAGTTGAGGGGCTGCCCCAAAGAAGGGGTCAACCTGTTTTCCAAAGCACCTGAAGGCAGGAGAAGAAGCAATGGGTGGAAACTTATCAAGGAGAGAAGCAACCTGGAATTAAGTAGGAAGTTTTTGGTGTGAAAACTTTGAAACAGTGAAAACAATTAATCAGTGGAACAACTGGCCTCCAGAAGTTGTAAGCGCTCTATTCTTGGAGGTTTTCAAGATGAGATTGGACAGCCCTTTATTTGGAATAAGATAGGGACTCCTGCTTGAGTAAGAGGTTGGACTAGAAGACCTCCAAGGTCCCTTCTGATCCTATGTTCTAAGCAGAGTTTCTCCACTCGTGAATACTCGTGGATACTGCTAAAGAAGAGACTGGACTGCCACTCATCTGAAGTAGTCTAGGGTCTCCTGTTGGAGCAGTGGGTTGGACTAGAAGACCTCCAAGGTCCCTTCCAGCTCAGTTACTCTGTACCCAAAGTACAAATGCTGAATGCTTTTCCCAGCTCCCATTTTTGCAGATTAAATCCAAACACCGGTTTCAAAAACTGGTAAATTTTTTTGATCGTCCAGCATCTTCCCATTATTGGTGAAGAAACTTTTCTGCGGTTCATAAGATAATTGTTAGAAATAAAAGAACGGTTTCTGGTCATGGGGATATACAGGCTCTAAATGGACTAATACAGTTGCTGCTCACCTACTCCAAGGTCTAAAAAGATGCTGAGAATGGTTTTAAGATCCTGGTTGATGATGGTTCTTCCCTCTTCCTTCGCAGAGAGGCCTTAACGAAAATGAAAGATGTCTACATCAAGAACCCTCAAATGGGGGATGCAGCCAGCGTGGACATTAAGTTAGCTGAACTCAGTCAAAACTTGGAGAAGCTGAGGCTGGAAGTACAAAAATTTGAGGTAGGGAGTTAACAAAGCATTAGCTACGTGTTTCTCTGCTCAGCAACTTTTAAGACTTCGATTCCCAGAATCCCCCAGGCAGGCTGCTTTAAGACGGGTGGACTTCAACTCCCAGAATCCCCCATCCGGTAGGCTTGAAAATGAGTCACTGCAGAATTCTGGGAACAGAAAGTCCTTAACCTCTTAAAATTGCTGAAAAGTCCTGAGTTTAGAGAAGGTGCCGCCCAGATGTGCTAGGGTGGCAAATTCCAAAATCCATAGCCAGTACAGCGTACTATGGATTCTGGGAACTGTAGTCTCAGCCCATTGAGCTGGGCATCATATGGGGACACTGCTTGGTCAAATCCAGATGGTTTTTCCAAGATGCTGAAGTATCCCCCATTTACTTTGCAAGGTAGTCCAGAAAAGAAACCCAACTCTCTCTGTATTGTCAGATCACATTCACAGAATCTTTCAAGACTGAAAGCACCTCTCCTTTCCTTTCCTCTTAACACTCTGGAAAACTTCCGAGTTGCTTCTCACCGCCCCTTTCCCATCTCTGGGCTGAGCTCCTTTTATCTGGTCTGCAATTCTTCCTCCGGTCTCCCAAGGCCATCCCCACAGACCATTAAAGTCCCTCGTTTTCCCTCCTTCTCTGCTTCAGGGCTGGTTAGCGGAGGTGGAAGGTCGGTTACCTGTCCGAACAGAGGTGATGCGCCGCCAGAGTGGAGCATACGAGCCCCAGAGTAACACCTTGACCGTCACAAACTGTGTCCAGGACCGAGAGAGGTACAGTACCTGTACTGTGCTGGAGAATCCTTGTTGGGCAAAGGTCTGGTGCCAGGACGCTCTCAGATGCCAATCTTGCAACCTCAATGCCGATGCACCTCGCTTTGACCCATGATTTCCGATGCACCTTTCTCTCCTCCAGTTCTACCTCTACAGGAACAACAACCCTGAGAGGTAGGCTGAGCGGAGAGTGACTGGCCCAGAGGTTCCTAGAGAGTTCCCATGCCTGAGAGCCGATTTGAATCTGGATCCAATCTCCAGTTTAATTTCCTCCGAGATCTCTGGGGGATCCCATGCAGGCTGACTCTCACCCTACATGGGTGGCGAGATCAAAAGGGACCAGGTTATGTTGGAAAGGTTTAAGAGATTAAGAATAGATTGAGATGATGGCCTTTATTATCATTTTTTTTACTGTGAGCACCCCGGCACACATTAAAAATTCTGTTGCCTGCTCTGAAAAGAAAGTATATATCTATCCATACACATATATAACACACATATAAACATTATACACACTCACACACACACTAATTCCTGTCCATTTTGAGTGCATAGCAGAAAGAGAAAACTTGAGAGTTTGCAAGGTTGATGCTATACCGAACAAAACCGTGACTGAATCTGGATGTTCTGCTTTGGATACCACAAAGCCCCCTCCCAAAAGGAAACAAGGAAAAGAAGGCCATGTAGACAATAAGTAGCATCCCAAGACAACGCTGTGGACCCTGCTTCCTTCTGGGCTGGCGTGTGGCATGTTCCACGAGCACTGTGCATTTTGTTTGCCTGGAGCACCCAGCCCTGCAAGGAAGCACATGGCTGGTGTTGTAAGCTGCGGTGTGCTGCGGCTGCCCAAAAATGAGCCAATGCAGTCCCAGGCTGCATCAACAGATGGATCATAGCGACCAGATCACACGAAGCGATAGCGTTGCCTTATACAGCAGCGGTGAGATCACCCTTGGAATACAGCATCCACTGCAATATTAAAAAAAAATGCTGAGATTCTAGAAAGAGGATTAGAGGACTGGAGGAACGTACGAAGGACGGTTGAATAGAATTGGGTATGTCTAGTTTAAGGGGTGACACAATAGCAGTTTTCTAATATTTGGGGGGGAGGGCTGTCACAGAGAAGAGGAAGCTGGCCTATTTTCCAAAGCACCAGAGGGCAGGACAATAAGCAATGGATGGAAGATCATGAAAGAGAGATCCAACCTAGAAACTAAGGAGAAATTTCTTGACAGCGAGAACAATGAATCCATAGAAGGACTTGCCTGCAAGAAATTGTGGGTGCGCCATCGCTGGAGGTTTTCAAGAAGAGACTGGGTGGCCATTTGTCTAAAATGGCATTGGTTGTCTTGCTTGAGCAGGGGTTGGACTAGAGGACCTCCAAGGTCCCTACCAACTCTGTTATTCTGACTCAAGTGTTTTCCCAATAGGGAAGCCACCTATTTTTCAAGGCCCCTGAAGGCAGAATTTCCCGCCGGCGGTGGAGACCCAGGTGGAAGGGCAGGGCGAGGGGGGGCAGCGTCTCCTCCCCTTCTTCTCTCCAGCCGACCTGAAAGGTTGCTATAGTGGTTGCCTTCTCTTTTCCTTTTCCTGTCTTGAGCAGTCCCGATGGCGGTTACACAGAGGAACCCAGCCAGGAGAGTGAGATGAAAACGCCGACGACCGAATTCGACGATGAATTTGACGATGAGGAGCCCCTACCCACCATTGGTACCTGCAAGGCTCTGTACACCTTTGAAGGTAAAGGTGTGTGTGGGGGGGGTGGAGTTCTCCAAACAGGACCCAGAAGCTTCTGGTGAAAGATTCTGGCACGCCCTGGGCTGGCTTTGCAAAAAATGTACAGGGGCGGAGATGGGGGTTTCTACCTTCAGCATCTGGATGTCTTCCTCTTGGTTGCAGCTGTGAGAGGGCCAAGGACCAAGGGGCCTCTGATAACAACAACAACAACAATAATAATAATGAATATTTGTAGTTCCAAGGTTGAACTATGGGGTCTCTAAGCTGGGTGGTTTCCTTGCAGACATTTCATGAGCCAACTAGGGAACGTCATCAGTGCTAGAAGGGAGTGAGGTTTGCAGGGAGGAGGAGGAGGAGGAGGATTGTGGGGTCCTTGGTGCTCCCTGAGCTGGGTGGTTTCCTTGCAGATGTTTCATGACCCAACTAGGCAACGTCATCAGTGCTAGAAGGGAGTGAGGTTTGCAGGGAGGAGGAAAAGGAGGAGGAGGAGGTGGAGGACAATGACTGTGGGCTCCTTGGTGCTCCCTGAGCTGGGTGGTTTCCTTACAGACGTTTCATGACCCAAACAAGGGAACGTCATCAGTGCTAGAAGGGGGTGGCATTTGCTTCCTCTATATAGAAACCGATTGGGAGAATGTTCTCGGGGTTTTGGTAAAACGAGGACCCAGGTTGACTCTGTAAACCACTTGGAGAGGGCTGTAAAGCACTGTGAAGCGGTATATAAGCCTTAAGTACTATGGCCTGTGATTTTCTGCTCTCTTAACAGGCAGGACTAGCGCTGAATTTAGAGTGTTTTTTTCTTTTTTTTTTCTTTTGGATTACCTGTACTAACCCACCTCCACCTCTCCCTTCCAGGACAGAATGAAGGAACCATTTCTGTGACGGAAGGAGAAACCTTGTATGTCATAGAGGAAGACAAAGGAGACGGGTGGACTCGCATCCGGAGGAACGAGGATGAGGAAGGCTACGTCCCCACTTCTTACGTCGAGGTCTTTTTGGAGAAGAACGCCAAAGGTAACATGGCTTATGTGTGTAGTCCTCAATTCATGACCACAGTCAAGTCCAAAAACGTCTGTCGCTAAGCTGTTGTTGAGTGAGTTTTGCCCCATTTTAGGACATTCCTTGCCACCGTTGTTAAGTGAATCCCCGCAGCGGTTAAATCAGTCACACGGTTGTTAAGTGAACCTGCCTTCTCTGTTGGCTTTGTTTGTCAGAAGGACTCAAAAAGAGGATCATGTGAGGGCCCCCCCCTCCCTTGGGACACTGCGACCGTCGTAAAGACGAGCCAGTTGCCAAGCGTCTGAATTTTGATCACGTGGCCATTCTGCCACAGTCGTAAGCGTGAAAAATGGTCAAAAACTCCCCCTTTTCCAGTGCTGCTACAACTTTCAATGGACACTGCCTGTCCATTTCTTCTTTCCCTGCTACTCTTATCGTTTGCATTTTATTTTATTTTATTTTATAGATTCCTAAAGAAAGAAAAGAAAAAAGAAACAGAAATGTCACTTGCTGCCACAAGAGCCTCGGGACAAGCTGGGCACCCACGGAGAAAGAAACGGACGATCGGATTTTTATGATTATTTTGAAACAGTGTCCCGTTTTTTGAAACCACTTCTGGCCGTTTGGCGAGCTTGGGATGAAAGGGAGAATTCAGGCCCCGAGGAAGGAGAATGAAAGCACCCGCCTGAAACTGTCCTTCAAGCTCATCCTTCATTGCCTCTCACGTTCACCTGCCTTTGAGCTGTGGCACCAATGAATCCACCTTGGCTGGGTTTCCACCACCGCTTACCAGATCCAAACTGTGGGGATCGCCTCTCTCCTTCCTCCAGGGATGGGATGGAATCAGGCCTTGATCAACCATTGCCCTTCCTTGCCCCTTTTCTCCTCGTCCCTCAAAGGATTTTGCAAACAGGTCCTCATTTCTCCCACACAGAAGATGAGAAACAGGGAAACCTTCCCTAGCTGGGGTCTTCGAAGCCAAGGCATTGGATGGAGGGTCTCACCGCTAGGTAGAATTTAGGATTTGTCATGAAGTCTGACGTTGTAAGTTCGATCCACAGTTGATTCATGGGCCTTAAGGCTCAAATAATGTTTGTTTTAATCTAGCAGATCTATTGGTCTTTGGCTTTGCACCCTGGTTGCGTGAGGAGGAAATGGAGGAACGGAAAAGATTTCCCATGGTGCTTAGAGCAGGAGATAGGAAACGTTTCCTATCGGGAGTCCATAGGACCTCTTAGCCGCGTTGAGAAGATGACTTCCATCCCACATTGGTTAGGCTGGCCAACCCTTCTTGAAGACCCTAGGGTGGAGAAGACCTTCCTGAAGAGGTTGGGCAAGGTGCTCGTGGTCCGGCTTTCCCCAGGGAAGAATGCAAAGGACGTTCCCTTTTAGTTGGGTGAGTGGTTGTGTTTGGTGTGACTGGCACCGCGGTGTGGTGGAGGGACCCTCTTTCTCCTTTCACTCACTCCATCTATCCATCACACCCAGAGGAGGTTCATTGGAAGGAGAACAGGCTTCTAGAGCAGAGATTCATGTAGAGTGATAGAAGATACCTCTTTTGGCCAAGGGTTGCTCCTTGGTGGCCTTGAGATCACCCCAAATCACTCCTAATTTGACGGGCGTTACTGCCAAGCCACGCCTTGCTCTTCGAGTCGGATTTGCATCATGCTAAGAACTTAATGGTCTGGCTTGGTCCAGGGTTAGTGGAGAAGTCTCCCAGCCATGGTTTAGTGCAAAGTGTCTCCATAACCATGGTCTCGACCAAGGCTTATTGAAATCCAGTCGTAGCGGGATGAAGCTGCAGAGCTTGGCCATTCACGGTGAGCCCAAGGGGTGCCCTTGCCTAGACCAAGTATGTTCAGAAACACCCTGTTTTGGTCCTGGGTTCAACAGAACCTGAAAACTTGCAGAAAGAGGTTCAGAGGTCCTGGTTTGAAGCTGCTGAGATGGCCGAATCCAAGGGATCTTTGGGTACCCGTGGTGTTCACCAGGACTTCAGTTCCAAGTCTCGCCTCCGCTAAAAAAAAACAACAACAACAACCCATGACTTGGTCTGCAGTTCTCCTGCAGGAAGGAATTCAGATTTCCATTTTAGGAAGTGCCTATGGATAACAGGTCCCATTCATCCTCTTACTAAGAATTAGGGATATTTTCCCTCCTCCCCCGGGGGTCAACCAAGGAATGAATCTGATCTGCAGGTTTTCTCCACCTCGGTGGCTTTAGGAGCAGATGCACTTCAACTCCCAGAATTCTCAAGCCAGCCCAGATGTTGGCTGATGAGTTTTGGGAGCCATGGCCCAAGAAAACCTGGCTGCCCCCAAGACCTTGAACCTTTCTGCCTTGCCTTGCCAACTGGGAAGCTCTGCTGGGCTGGCTAAGCTGGTTTGCCGATCGCAGGATGCCACTGGCCTTCCCAGGGATCTGTTTGCTCACTTGCATGGCTTTTATTTCACTAATAGTCCTTTAGTCACCCAATATCTTTCATGCCAATCTTGATTTCTTTCTCCTTTCAGCCTGTTTGTTCATTCTTCTGTCCTCTCTGGGTTATTTTTAAGCCCCTGTTTACATCTCCTTCTTGTTCTTTTAATTTATTAAATTATTTTGCATGGCGCCTCTCTAAATCCACCTCCCCCGCCCCCTTCTCTCGCATGGCCATCCCCACATTTATTTATTTCAGCTTTTCCCGACCCCGTCCTGCTTGTGGGCTCCTACATTGGACCAAGGGGCTGGACTGGAGGACCTTCAGGGTCCCTTCCAGCCCTCGGGTTCTGTCATCCATGCCAGCCAAATTTCACTGTGATTCCTGCCCTTCTCGGCTCTCATCCGGTCTCAAGTTCCACCCCAGTTTTTAACTCTGTTTTGGGGGCTATGCCATCACAGCGAAGTTGCGGTTTGATCAGTGTCCTGGAAGACTTAAAATCCTTCTCAAAAAAACAACAACAACAACCCTGGAGCTTGTAGCAGACTGACAAAGGTTATTGCTGTGCCGAGTTCGAGAGACTGCCAGTTTTGAACTCGCCTCTTCTCAGGAGGCGCTGCACTTTGGAAAGCGGCTGGGGTAGCCCCAGATTGCAGCTTCAAGTTAGCTGTGCCTGCAGCCCGATTGGAAAGACAGACTTCCAATCTCTCCAAGGAGGAGGACGGTGAAATCTCATTTCTCCATCCGAAGAGGTGAAACCGATGTGCTGGAACTGATTTTCAAGGAATTTTGCAGGATTCCCTGCCTACATTAAAGCATAGCCGAGAAAACTTGAATTTTCCTGACGTTTTTTGGGGATGGAGAAGGTTGTAAGCAAGGAAGTGAAGAGTTGGAAGCTGAAGTGGACGTTGGAAACACACCCTCCAGGCAGTTTAATACGAGCGGACGATCAAATGTCCATTGGTGGATATAACTGCACCATTATAACTCTTTCTGCATTCTCCTTGCCATTTTACAATATCGCGGTGGGAGGAAAGTGAAACTTTGACTGCTACAAACCTCAGCGAGCTAGGAATGACCAGATTGGATTTGCTGAGGATTGGGTGACCACAAGCCCAGGGAACTAAATTGAGCCTCCACTATTGGGGACAGTCTACCTGTGGGGATCAGAGATTGGGGAGGGAAAAGGCACAGTCGAAGCAGCTCTCAACCTGCAGTGTATTTGCGTACCTGCCTGGGTAGAAGCATGGAAATTAAGCATTTCCCCCCCCCAAAATTGTTATCCTGGTGGACCAGGCTAAACCCACACCCCAATTTCTCTGGAGCAGAAGGCAGACTAGCCTTCCAGGTTTCCTACCCCGCAGGGAAAGTTTGAGGAAGCCCAAAGCAAAATAAAATAAAAGTAACACCATGAAAATAACCTGAAATTCTTCTTTCTCTGTAGCCCAGGAAGGCAAGAGATCTTTGGCACCTGGGCTTCTCCAAAATAAACATCCTGCTTTAATTAAAAATTCCCGATTTTTTTTTCTCCTTTCCCAAATCTGGCGTCCTTAGAAAAGGGTTAGGGCTACTTTCCCAAAAAATAAAATTTAAAAAATGCTTCTTGTAGGCTTCATGTTTATCAGATCTGGAACATCCACGCAGATAGATAGATAGATAAACCCAACTGTAGTTTGTTTTCCACAAACCAAGGTTGCAATTGATGCAGGGGTTCAATCTCCTTTTTTATCCAGGTGCTAAGACTGAAAAAAAATAAAAATAACACGAGCTGTGCCATCATGAAATTAGGGAGATCACTGCCAGGTTGGTTATCAAATGTCCAGCTAAGCATTTCTGCAAACTTTGAGATGACATGGGTTTAATTTGGGGAAAAAAAGAAGTTGTTTAAAACATAGAGCA